ATCCCAACTTACCTAAAAGAAGAAAACGTTGCACATTGCTTAAGGGGGCTAATAATATTGACATTAAAATGGCTTTAACACAATTAAAAACTAATTTTATTCTAGCCAAAATAAAACAAATAAGACTTTATCCAGAAGAAATAATATTGAGGAATACAGTGAAAAATTTCTAAATCTACTAAACATAATTTTGGAAATATTTGAAAAACAAATGCACAGGAGGGCAAATAATTCTGACTTCAGCTGTATATGTGTGTTTGTTTTTCCCTAAAGGAAAGATCTCAGGCTCGTACACTGATAAAACATTCAGCAAACGGCATTTTTCAGATGGCTGTGTGTGAATGCTGAGCAAACCCTCGTCATCGAGAGCTTAGAGAGTGTCTTTAAAGGCAGAGGGTGGTTAGAGTTGCGCAGACCATAATCCATTTCACAACCCAGGCCAAATATCACAGAGCATGTAGAAAGAGCTAAAGTCGGGATGACATGAACCCGTCATTACAGCTGCGGAGGAAAAATCAATTTACTCCATCTCTCTATAAATATCCCTCTCTTCACTTTATCTGCTCTCTGCTGACCAGAAGTAGCCAACGGTATTCAGGCTGTTTGATCAAAAATACAGTAAAGCTTTATTATTATTCATTAATCGTCATTATTCCCGCCTTCAGACGGTGTCACATGATCCTTCAGAAATCTGAAATGCTGTTTAATGTTTATTTATTTAGCAATCCAAAGCTCTGTTATAGTGCTCTTCTGTATAGTGAACTGCACTGAAAGAAAGAAAGAAAGAAAGAAAGAAAGAAAGGGTAGAGAGTGTAGAGAGAAAAAAGAGAGGAAAAGAGAGAAATGAAAAAGAGAGAAGGAAAAATGTAGCGAGAAAGAAAGAAACTAGATAGATAGATAGATAGATAGATAGATAGATAGATAGATAGATAGATAGATAGATAGATAGATAGATAGATAGATAGATAGATAGAAGGGAAGGAAAATTTAGGAAAGAAAGAAAGAGAGAAAGAAAGAAAGATAGATAGATAGATAGATAGATAGATAGATAGATAGATAGATAGATAGATAGATAGATAGATAGATAGATAGATAGATAGATAGAAGGGAAGGAAAATATAGGATAGATAGATAGATAGATAGATAGATAGATAGATAGATAGATAGATAGATAGATAGATAGATAGATAGATAGATAGATGGAAGGGAAGGAAAATTTAGGAAAGAAAGAAAGAAAGAAAGAGAGAAAGAAAGAAAGAAAGATAGATAGATAGATAGATAGATAGATAGATAGATAGATAGATAGATAGATAGATAGATAGATAGATAGATAGATAGATAGATAGATAGATAGATAGATAGATAGATAGATAGATAGATAGATAGATAGATAGATAGAAGGGAAGGAAAATTTAGGAAAGAAAGAAAGAAAGAAAGAAAGAAAGAAAGAGAGAAAGAGAGATAGATAGATAGATAGATAGATAGATAGATAGATAGATAGATAGATAGATAGATAGATAGACAGACAGACAGACAGACAGACAGACAGACAGACAGACAGACAGACAGACAGACAGACAGATAGATAGATAGATAGATAGATAGATAGATAGATAGATAGATAGAAGGGAAGGAAAATGTAGGAAAGATAGATAGATAGATAGATAGATAGATAGATAGATAGATAGATAGATAGATAGATAGATAGATAGATAGATAGATAGATAGATAGATAGATAGATAGATAGATAGATAGAAGGGAAGGAAAATGTAGGAAAGATAGATAGATAGATAGATAGATAGATAGATAGATAGATAGATAGATAGATAGATAGATAGATAGATAGATAGATAGATAGATAGATAGATAGATAGATAGATAGATAGAAGGTAAGGAAAATGTAGGATAGATAGATAGATAGATAGATAGATAGATAGATAGATAGATAGATAGATAGATAGATAGATAGATAGATAGATAGATAGATAGAAGGTAAGGAAAATGTAGGATAGATAGATAGATAGATAGATAGATAGATAGATAGATAGATAGATAGATAGATAGATAGATAGATAGATAGATAGATAGATAGATAGATAGATAGATAGATAGATAGATAGATAGATAGATAGAAGGGAAGGAAAATGTAGGATAGATAGATAGATAGATAGATAGATAGATAGACAGACAGACAGACAGACAGACAGACAGACAGACAGACAGACAGACAGACAGACAGACAGACAGACAGATAGATAGATAGATAGATAGATAGATAGATAGATAGATAGATAGATAGATAGATAGATAGATAGATAGATAGATAGAAGGGAAGGAAAATGTAGGAAAGATAGATAGATAGATAGATAGATAGATAGATAGATAGATAGATAGATAGATAGATAGATAGATAGATAGATAGATAGATAGATAGATAGATAGATAGATAGATAGATAGATAGATAGAAAAATGTAAGAAAGAAAGAAGGAAAGAAAGAAAGAAAGAAAAGGGTAGAGAGAGAAAAGGAAGGAAGGAAAGGAAACACATAGCACTGAATCACTCTTTCTGCATCACCCAGAACATTTATTATAGCAAATGTGTGACTAAACCAGACACAAAAACAAAACTTGAGTCAATTCTGAATAATTCGATCATTTAAAAATGTAAACCGCATCCCTAAAGTTTTAATTTGAACCGTTAATCCTCGCAGTGCGGAACAGAAAATGAAACAGAAGTGTGTGTGTGTGTGTGTGTGTGTGTGTGTGTGTGTGTGTGTGTGTAAAATATATTATATTTATGGTAATCTGCGCCATTGGGGCTTATTCTTATTGTATTACACATGAATTACAATGAATTGTTCCTGCAGTGTGTACACGTTTACCAGTCTCTGTCAATAAAGCTGTTTTTGGCACAGGCTAAAAGACTTTGTGTCCTTTTTAGGCTTTGGAGAATAAGCTGCGTTGAATACAAAGCTCACGGCCGGCCACCTGGATCAGAAAGGAAAAACAGCAGAGAGAAAATCGAATGTGTTTTCCAATTTGGGTGGAGTCGGGAGAGGTGGCAGCCCCCCGCTGCGTGTGTCTAAACCAACACAGAAACTGTCACCAATCCTGTGACCCACACCGGCCCGCGCACTATTACTGCCAGCAGCAGACCATTAACTCTCTAACACTGAAGATACAGAGGAGAGAGAGAGACACAGGCCACATATCAGCTCAGAGGATGAAGAAAACAAGAACAGAAGACGTTTACAAAGGATCGACACAGTTCCCCCTCCCAAATCCCTCCCCATCAAAAACGTGACAATTATAAGAACAGTTTGCACCACAGTATGACATGATGTTATATATACTCACCGGCCACTTTATTAGGTACATGTGTCCAGATGTTTGTTACTTCCAGCAGGATAACGCAGCATGTCATAAAGCTCAATCATCTCAGACTGCTGAGCATGACGATGAGTTCACTGTACACAAATGGCCTCCACAGTCACCAGAGCTCAATCCAATAGAGCTGCTTTGGGATGTGGTGGAACGGGAGATTGGCATCATGGATGTACAGCCGACAAATCTGCAGCAACTGTGTGATGCTATCATGTCAATATGGAGCAAAATCTCTGAGGAATATTTCCAGTAGCTTGTTGAGTCTATACCATGAAGGATTAAGGCAGATCTGAAAGTAAAAGGGCGTCTAACCTGTTACCAATAAGGTAAGGTGTGCGTGTATATTAAATATATAATAAACATACATGCAAATACAAATATGCAAATACTTGGCAATTTATGGATTATTCATGGAATTCTTTACATTTATTTGTCTTTTACTTTGAATTCATACATACTACTTGAAAAATAACCCACATTTCTGAGGGACCCCATCATAAAACACAACTGACGTGTATTTATTTACTATATATTTATATAAAGCCCATTTATAGTGTGAATTAATGGGTCAAAATGGATCAAAATGATTATTTTTTAAAACAGTTTCTTCCCACAACTTAACTTTTATAAAAAAAACATGTCTTTATTGTTCATTTTTATTTAAAACAGATATAAATTGCTCATGTACTTTTTATATTATTAGATCAATTATTTATTTCTTTTAAACATATTTAAGTAATTATTTTATTATTAGACTGCATGCTTTCCAGATTTTTCTTGTGTTTTTAACATAAAAAAGTGTTTATAATGTAATTTGATATTAATATTAATATTATAATTGGGTCAAAAGTTCTGTTTCTTTCCACAACTTAATTTTTTAACATTTCTTTATTCTTCATTTTTATTTATAAATCAGATATTATTTATTTATGTGCACACTTTTATACATTGTTCGTTTATACAACTCTTTTAAACATATTATTCAGTAATTATAATATTATTATATTAATTTTGTGTGTGTGTGTGTATGTATGTATATATATATATATATATATATATATATATATATATATATATATATATATATATATATATATAGTTGCAACCAGAATTATTACTAAAGAATTGTTTTTTAAATATTACCCAAAAGATGTTTAACAGAGCAAGGAAATGTTCACAGTATGTCTGATAATATTTTTTCTTCTGGAAAAAGTCTTATTTGTTTTATTGCGGCTAGAATAAAAGCAGTTTTAAATTTTTTAAACACCATTTTAAGGTCAGAATTATTAGTCCCTTTATGTTACGATAGTCTACAGAACAAACCATCATCATACAATAACTTGCATAATTACCCTAACCTGCCTAGGTAACCTAATTAACCTAGTTATTAGTAATGACTTATTAAAACTATTATGATTAGAAATGTGTTGAAAAAATCTGCTCTCCGTTCTGGCCGTCTAATAATTCTGATGGCAACTGTATGTATACATACAGTAATGAATAAATACTGCATCATTTGGGGCGCAGAGTTCTTATGCTTTGGTTTTTTCAGCAAAAATTGAACAGGAATAATCAGAAATCTGGATTAACTAAGACTGAGGCCAATATTGTCACAAAACCTACTTTTTTACAGCATGTTTTAACCAACTGCTGTCATAGTGATTTTCGGAGCCCGAACAGAACAGAACACAAGGGTCAAACAGACGGAGGAGCAGTTATTGGCTGTGATGGCGGGTTATTAAAGATCTCCGCATCTCAGTTTATTCAGCACGACATTAACAGAAGGGCAGAACAAGCCAATATCATTTACACGCGTGTGACTCAAGCGCGCGTAAGTGACGTATATAGATGACGCTCAGTCAATCCGCGCGCTGGAGTATTCGGTTTTAATCCGTTGAAGCGCCGCTGTCCGTTCAGCACCAGCGACTGTGAGAAGAGGGTTCACGCGCGTTACAAACGGCAGAAAAGTCTACACATTCGGACAGCTGCTTGTTTATGAGTGATTTCCACTAGAGAGAGGGAGTTCTGCGCGTTTTACACGTCTGTGACGAGGACTTCAACAGTTTGTTGGGCAGTTTGAGTGAGGGAAATTGCCCCTGCATAAAGAAAGCGTCGTGTTTTAAAGCCAGTAGCGGCTAATATTTCTGGTTTCTGTCTTGTATTTGCTTATAAGTGATTATTATTAGCGTTATCGTCGAGCTCTCGTCGGATTTTATTTCTCCAACGGTTTTTTTATTTGTTTTAACCGTCATTTGTATTTTCGAATATCAACGTCTCAACGAATTTCCGTTATTTTACTCTGAACGACTTACTTCGGTCAAACTTACTGAACTGACTCACCTTTTTTCGTTTGGAAGAACGAATAAGTCGTGAGAGCTTTCTTTGGGGTACTGATGCTGCTTTAAAGCGCAGCTGTCTGTTCAGCACTACCGACTGAGAGAAGAGCCTTGACTGCAGAAAAGTCTACACATTCGGACAGCAGCTTGTTTCTGTGTGATTTCCACTAGAGAGACGGAGTTCTGCGCGTTTTACCCGTCTGCGAGGGAGACTTCAACAGTTTGTTGAGTGAGGACATTTTTCCTCAAAGGAAACTTGCAGATAATATTAGGTATTTCTGCCTTTTGTGCGATTTTAAGTGATTATTGTTAGCGTTATCATCAAGCTATCGTCGATTTTTTGTTTCCAAGGTGGTGTTTTTGCTTTGTTTTAACCGTCAAATGTATTTTCGAATGTCAACGAGTCAACGGATTTCGTTTATTTTACTCTGAACGACTTATTTAGTCAAACTTACTGAACTGACTCACCTTTTATGTGGTTTGACGAACGAATCAGTCGTAATGAGAGCTTTATTTGTGGCACTGCTGCTTGTTTACGCGTCAGGGAGCGGGAAAGTGGCTGGCGCGAATGGCGCGAAAGGAAACCGCTTCGTGTGTACGGCTGTGCCCGCGGGCACCGACCTCAGCTGCCCGGTGGAAACCACCAACCGTGTGCAGAGCACAAGCCCGCAGGAGGAAGAGTTGCGGAATACGATCATCCAGCTCCGAGAGACCATCCTGCAGCAGAAGGAAACTATCGTCAGCCAGCAGGGCACCATCAAAGAGCTCAACTCCAAACTCGCGCGCTGCGAGGCGGACGTCAGGTCCCGGGGCAGCGCGCGCAGGAAGGATTACAGTAAGAACACGATGGGCGATCTGCCGCGGGACCCCACCGAGAGCGTGGAGCAGCTGGGGAAGACCATGCAGAGCCTGAAAGACAGACTAGAGAGCCTTGAGGTGAGAGTTCAAGTGACACTTATTAAATAATGATACTTAAACAGATCTTAAGTGGCGAGTTTCTTTATTCTGTTAGCACTGATGCAGACATTTTGAAGAAAGCTTAAATTGTGTATTGACTTCATTGGTGGGAAGATTACACGTCTAGAACCTCTAAGTATTAAAACGCAAGTAGTAAAATGCACCAGCATGGTTAGTCTGCATTACCAAATAAAGGACACTTTAAGGCAGGGGTGTCCAAACTTGGTCCTGGGGGGCCGGTGTCCTGGAGAGTTTTGCTCCAACCCTAATCAAACACACCTGAACCGGCTAATCAAGCTCTTTCTAGATAAACTGAAAACCACCAGTTGTGTTGAAGCAAGTTGGAGCTAAACTCAGCAGGAAACCGGCCCTCCAGAACCGAGTTTAGACATCACTGCTTTAAGGGATTGTTTGCCCAAAAATGTAAATTTACTGACCATTTTACTCTCCATCAATCCGTATTTTGAAGAAAGCTTAAAACCTGTAACCATTGACTTCTATAGCAGAAAACACAAATACTACAGAGGTCAATGGGGGCAAGAGTTCATGCTTGTAAATAGCAAACTTGCTGAATTTTCTCAGGAACATAGGGTCATACCTGTCAACATTGGTATGTGAAAATAAGGCATATGCCCACCATAATAAGGGATTCCCACGACCCCCTTTTTCCTCAATGTGGTAATCTGATAGAGGCTCATCTGTTATATCATGCTCTTGCAACCGGTTGACCAGTATGGGGTTTTAAACACTCAGATAGTCACATGAAAAATACAATAAAATCAAATGATGCATTGAATTACTGAAATTAAATGCACCAATACACAGCTGCTGGGAAAGTAAAGAGTCAAGTAGATATGAATTATTTATCAGCCCGAACAACACTGGTCTCTATTCAAAATCACTAGAATTTAATACATGTTAGTTAATTATTAATTAATCATACATAACAATGAATTGTTGATAAGGAACACTGGTTTCTTGACTCCTAATTAGCTCTAAACATTTTATTTTTATCATATATAACTAGATTAGTAATAAATTGAGTTACAAACATGACTATTGGTGAAATCAACAGAACAGTTTGTTTGATTTGTTGTAGAATCATTTGATATAACGCTCTTTCATCTAATACTTTATTCATATTTAATTATACCAGTAAACAGTTGAACCTGTAATTATTTACTCTATAATTGTTTACTGACATCAAATCAAAAATATATAAAAGGGAAGCTTGTTTCTTACACAAAATCATTTAAAAATGTAATTTTTGTTCAAACTTTTTATCTCACGGTTTCGATTTTCATTCACTAAATAATATTGTTGTAACCCAACCTTGGGTCAAATATGGACTAACCCAACTGTTGGATTATAAAATATAATTTTAAATCGAATAAAAATGAATCAATCCAGGGAAACACAGTGGCGCAGTAGGTAGTGCTGTCGCCTCACAGCAAGAAAGTCACTGGTTCGAGCCTCGGCTGGGTCAGTTTGTGTTTCTGTGTGGAGTTTGCATGTTCTGCCTGCGTTTGCGTGGGATGTCCACAGTCCAAACACATGTGGTACAGGTGAATTGGGTAGGCTAAATTTTCCATAGTGTATGAGTGTGTGTGAAGGTTTCCCAGAAATCGGTTGCGGCTGGAAGGGCATCCGCTGTGTAAAAACGTGCTGGATAAGTTGGCAGTTCATTCCGCTGTGGCGACCCCAGATTAATAAAGGGTCTAAGCCGAAAAGAAAATGAATGAATAATTAATCCAACGTTGGCGTTGTCCATACTGTATTTGACCCAACATTGGGTTATGACAACCCAGCATTTTTAGAGTATATTGTTCTCTTCACTTGCAAGTCTCTCTGTCACAAGTCAGACTTTCCCTCTCAGTAAGCTAAACTAAGGATTCTAAGGAAAAACACAACTCTAGTTTTGGAGAAAACAGGGAAAATAGTTTAAATAAAAAACACATTTTATAAATCTTTAACTTGATAACTGCTATTCATTTGATCCAAAGCCTTATATTGTGAATACAGTATATCCTTTAAATTGCGTGATGTTTAAAATAGCATGCATTTAAACGTATGGTCATTTTTAAATTACATCTCTTATTTTACTGTTGATCCCTTAAGCAATCCTTAAAACTACCGATATCACTAAACCTGCAGCTAGTTTTTACCAACCTTTAACAGGTTATGGAACCAACACAATCTCACGGCAATTCGTAACTTTTTGATTTAGTGGCTAATTCGTATGAATTTGTACGATCTAATTTGTTCAATTTAGTACGATTTGCTCATCACCCAATAACGGTTGGGGTTAGGGGTGGGGTTGGGTGCCACGCCTCCTTTTTAAAATCGTTTCGTATGACTGAACTCGTACGAATTAGCCACTAAACTATCAAAATGTAAAATACTTACGTTTCCTCATGAGATCAGGCTGCAAGGAACCATATGGTAATTTTATTGACATTTCAATGACAAACCTGTGTTGTTGTAACCCAGTATTGGGTAAAATATGGAAAATCAAAATTTAATTGAAAAATTAACCCAATGTTGGGTTTGTTCATATTTGATCCAACATTGGATTACAACAACCCGTCATTTTTTAGAAAAACTCAATTCAATTCATCTTTATTTCTATAGCATTTTTACAATGTAGATTGTGTCAAAGCAGCTGAACACAGAAGTCCTAGTAAACTGAAACCGTGTCAGTCCAGTTTTCAGAGTTCAGTTCAGTGAAGTTTAAATTTTACTGCTGAAAGTCCAAACACTGAAGAGTAAATCAATCAATGCGCAGCTCCACAAGTCCCAAACTAAGCAAGCCAGTGGCCACAGAGGAGGAACAAACTTCACCAATTGACCAAAGTGAAGGAAAAAAAAAAAACGTTTAGAGAAACCAGGTTTAGGGTGTAGCCATACACCTCTGACACTATCCCTGATATTGACCAATCCCCATTCATACTCATTTCATGTAACCTGTCCCTAACCTTAACACATCCCTAAACCTTTTTTACAATCTAAAAAATGACTAAGTTGTTTGAATCCAAAGTAGCGTCAAATATGGACAACCTAACATTTGGTGAATTTTTCAACCTAATTTAAATTGCAATTTAAATTACACCCAGTGGTTTGGTTTCACCCAATGTTGAGTTGAAACAACCCAGCATTTTTATAGTGTACCACATTGCTAATTTTAACCAATCCTTAAACCTTCCAACATCTCACCTCAATATCAACATAAAGTGCTCAGCATATATGTGTTCACTCCTCACAAATCTCATATTTAAATTAATGTTTTCTATAGGAAGCTATATAATATTATATTTGTGCATATATATTAGATTAGTCAATACTGAAGCCAAATCTGGAGCTAATCCAACAAAAAAAAAACTCCAATAATGGTTTAAAAATGAAAATGATTAGCCCAAATGCATATGTTAGGGAAAAATATTAAATATAATTTTCAAAAATAGCAAAAACCAAGAGAAACATATATATATATATATATATATATATATATATACATATATATATATATATATATATATATATAACTGTTGAAATGTTGTAATTTGTAAAAAAAAAAAAATAATAATTGCAACATTTTGCATGAATTTAAATGGGTTATCTTTAAATTTCTAAAGATGTTCTGTAACTAAAATATAATTTTGATAAATATATCTGTTTAATAAATTTGTTTTGTTCAAATCCACCATTATATATGTAACGTAGGCCAGCTAGTAAGTGCCGTGCAGGGAAACCTCACCCCTCTGACCTCTAACAGATCTCTGACCTCTGACAGATGCTATAGGCCATGATCTTTAGCCTCCTTGGTAGAGCAACCAACTCCCATGCGGAAGGTCGCTGGTTCAATACCAGCTCGGAGCAGGATGGGTGGCTTAGGACCGGCAGGGTTAAATATATGACCTATATTTACTGAGAAATGGATGAAAATATTCATTTTCAAAATGGGGTGTACTCAATCATGCTGAGCACTCATCTTCATGTATCATTTAAAATCTAAGTGTATAGTTATCAAAGACATTTAAAAGGAAAGGAGACTAAATCTGGGTTATTTAAATGCACAAAACCAACCACTGGGTTAAATTATTGAATCCAATTGATAGCCCAACGTGCACAATTTTTCATATTTTACCCAATTTTGAGATAAGATAACCCAGCATTTTTAGTTGCTAAACCTTTTGCTAATTTTAACCAACTCAAAATCTGCCAATATCCCACCTCAATAGCAACATAAGTGTATTGCAATGCTTAAATCTTAATCTATTTATGCAGATCTAAATGCATATCAATCAAAGACACTAAAAATAAAGGCCTGGTAAAACTGGTAATGTTTTGATTCATGTATACCTGCATCAGTCAGTGTTCACTCCTTTAAAAGCCTCACTGTTATTGCAGCATCTGCCCAGCAGTGTGTTATTCTACAGCAGAATGAGCCACTAACTCATTTCCACTGAGGGCCACTTCAGCGTTTTGGCTGTGCTCAAAAGACCTGTTATAATTGTAAATGTTTCTACTCTTTAACATATTGTTCAATAATTGTCTCTTTATTTTATCGTAACATATTAATTTAACACTTAAATACATGTGTTTGCATGAATGCAAAGTAGATATTACGTCTTTTGGGTTATTATAACATAGATTTTTTTAACCGATTAAGAAGTTTAAAAGTAAAAAAACAAAGACAAATATCTTCAGAGACACACAACTCACAACAAATCATCTTGAGCTGGGTCTCAGAACAAGCATGCATGAGGAAAGGTGTAGTTTATAATCAATATACAATATAAAGCAGCGTGGACTTTTATAATAATGCTGGGTTCACACTTCACACCAAATGCAAAGGTGCTCATTTGTGCTGCCTAGTGTTGCTCGCATAAACACTTAAATTCGTAATTGCCGTGAGTCATATGCTCTCGGGTCACATAAAATGATATTGTGGGCTGTATTCGGCCTGCAGGCCTTGAGTTTGACACCGCTGCACTAGGAGCCAAAGACTGTAGAATACACAACAGGACGTTTCACTTGTATAGTCGTGAATGGGGAAAAGAGTAACGGTCGATTTCATTTTTAATTTATTTAATAGATAACCCTTAAGATGAAACATCTCATTTTCAATCTCAACAACTTCTAGCGGAAGAAAATAATAATAATAATAATTATATATATATATATATAGTTGAAGTCAGAATTATAAGCCCCCCCTGAATTATTTGACCGCTTGTTTATTTTTTCCCCAATTTCTGTTTAACGGAGAGCAGATTTTTTTCAACACATTTCTAATCATAATAGTGTTAATAACTCATCTCTAATAACTGATTTATTTTCTCTTTGTCATGATGACAGTAAATAATATTTGACTTGTTTTTCAAGACACTTCTATACAGCTTAAAGTGACATTTAAAGGCTTCACTAGGGTAATTAAGTTAACTAGGCAGGTTAGGGTAATTAGGCAAGTTATTGTATGACGATGGTTTGTTCTGTTGATTATCGAGAAAAAATATAGTTTAAAGGGGCTAATAATTTTGTCCCAAAAATGGTGTTTAAAAAATTAAAAACTGCTTTTATTCTAGCCAAAATAAAAACAAATAAGACTTTCTCTAAAAGAAAAAATATTATCAGACATACTGTGAAAATTTCCTTGCCCTTTTAAAACATCATTTGTAAAATATTTAAAAAAGAAGAAGACAATTCAAAGTGGGCTAATAATTCTGACTTCAACTGTGTGTATATATATATATATATATATATATATATATATATATATATATATATATATATATATATATATATATATATATATATATGAACCAGTTCAGGGTTATTAACTTCACTGAGCCTTGGTCAAGATATGGTCCATGTTTGGCCCTTGTCTGGAAGTCAGACTTGGTCCAGTCATGTATCGTAACACTGCGGCATGTGAACCAAGCAAATGCTGATTGTGTGGGCCAGAGCTGGGCCAGAGAAATTTGAACCTAAGCTCATTCTGGAAATGTAGCCCCACAGACATTTTTGGAGACCACGATTTACGTTGCCGGAGGTACGTATTTGTGCAGTTTTTGTTCTCGCCAATGTGTTCTAGCGTAAAAAGCCGCCAGAGGCCGCTGTCGAGCGACCGTCTGTCCGACTGAACGAATGAGGAGCCACCTTCCTCCTTCTCCTTCTTCCCTAAAGCCAAGCGATGATTTACAAAAGCTGTCCAGAAAAAGAAACACCCTCGTTAGATTTTGACCGCGTTTTCTGATTTCACCGTATTCTCGCCCGTTATGAAATCGTTCGCTTTATCTTTTGGATTCGTTTTTATGTCTTACCTGAATTCTGGAACCGCTCTTTCAAGTTACAGCGGCGTAACTTGACGAGCTAACCGGACAAACTAGTTACAGCGGGAAAGCCCTCCACACGGAGGAGAGCCGTCAGCCAGCGAGCGCAATGAGGAGCGGCGTCACACCGTCTGGTAGCGTTCGCTTGAAAAAACAAAATGCAGCCATATGTACCTCGTAAATCGTAGTCTCCAGAAATGTCCGCGGGGCTACGTTTTCAGAATGAGCTTGGGTTGGAAATTTTGCTATGTGGACCTACTTTGACAGAAATCTTGTAGTTTTTTGATGTACTTGATCCTTATGATCCTGAGTGACCTGTTAGTTTTGAGGCAGACAAACAGTGTTGTTTCTCTGGTCATTCAGCAGCAGCTGCGCACCAACACATCCAATGGAGCGTTCCCCAGTGAGCTGAGAGACCTGCTGAAGCGGCGTCTGAGTGATCTGGAGGGCCAGCTGCTGACCAGAGTCGCCGAACTGGAGGAAGAGAAAAGCCAACTCTACAACGAGACTGCAGCGCACCGCCAGCGCACCGAAAACACCCTCAACTCCCTGCTGGAGAGGATCACCGAGCTGGAGAAAAGTAGGCATCAATTATTCACTCGCTCCTGTCAAAATAAGACCCAGTCTATCACTTTTTGTTTTCGTACTGATGTGTGCTGCCCTGCCAGTTCAAAACATTTCTTTTTTTTCACCTGCTGGTCTGCGGTATGGGATAGGTAGACTAGTCAAAGGCTTTTCGCTCCCGCCACAAACCGCTTTGAACTCCACATGAAAACTGTTGCAGAGGCACCACTGAAGGGCGAAGAGAAAAAGCATGCGCACATTCACTGTGGAAAAATGTGGGAAGATGTATTTCAGCTTAAGATGAGGAGAAGAGACATGTGTATTGTTTCCACAAGCCACAAAGAAAAAAAAAGCAGTCCTTGAGGGAAAAAAAATGTAACAAAGGATGAGAAACCAACAAATGCTTACCACACCTGCATTTATTCGATTGAAAATACAGTGAATAGAATTAATTTTCAGTAAAGCTTTTTGCGAAGCTTGTATTTTTATACATACTTTAACGTTATAAGGTCATTATAACGAAAAGTCCCATTGACTTAACATTGGGACAAACTTTATGGGCTCATACTGTCATTACAGACTTAGGAATGAACTCATTTAACATTTAACTAGCCAGCAGCTAACCACTGAAGACCTTTAAAATTCCGAGCCACTCCCTAGCAACCCATTCCAGCACCCTAGCGACTGTCCCATAGAATGTTCTAAAACATGCTATTAACATCCTACTGACATGCTAATCCTGCTAGTGCCATGCTAGCACATGCTAATTTCTGCTTATTCGTGCTAGAATCATGCTAACAACATTCTAACCCAGCTGAAAAATCCAGCTTAAACCAGCCTAGGCTGGTTGGCTAGATTTAGCTGGTTGACCAACCTGGTTTAGAGGGGTTTTGGCCATTTCCAGGCTGGTTTCCAGCCATTTCCAGCCTGGTCTTAGCTGGTCAGGCTGGAAAATGACCAGCCAAATCCAGCTAAAACCAGCTTGACCAGCCTGGTTTAAGCTGGATATAGCTGGTTTTGGCTAGACTCCCAAAAACCAGCCTGGTCGACCAGCTAAAACAAGCCAACCAGCCTAGGCTGGTTTAGGCTGGATTTTTCAGCAGGGAATTCATGCTAGACTCATGCTATAAACAAACCACAGACACAGGGACAAACTTTAAAGCCTTTACTGGTGACTGCAGGGATTTTAATTATTATTTTAGCCAACTTTTACAAACTAAATAAACTACTTCCAACAGACTTTCTCAAGCCACCATAAAGTTTGTCCTCAAACTTTTAATGTCTAGTTTTCTGTTAAGCTGCTTCTTGCCATGACATGTTCACACCTACAATTGAAAGCAGAAGTGTACATACACTCTAAAAAAAGGAACAGAACCATTAAAAAAATTGTCTGGTGGTAAATTACACTAAACGTTTACTATTTTAGGTCTGTTAGGATTACCTAAATGATTTACATTTGCTAAATGCCAGAATAATGAGAGATTTTGTTTTGAGAATTTCTAGACAGTCAGAAGTTTACACACATTTCCTTGGTATTTTTTAAGCTTTGCTTTTAAACTGTATAACTTTGGTCAAATGTTTTGGGTCTCCTTTCACAAGCTTCTCAATAGTTTGCAAGAATATTGGCCCATTCCTCCTGACAGAATTGCTGTAACTGAGTCAGATTTGTAGGCTGTCTTGCTCGCACAAGCTTTTTCAACTTTGCCCACACATTTTCTATAGGATTGACATCAGGGCTTCGTGATGGCCACTCCAAAACATTCACTCTGCTGTCCTTAAAGCACATTTAAACTCATTTGGCAGTATGCTTAGGGTTGTGGTCTGTTTGCAAGACCCATTTGTGGCCAAGTTTTAATTTCCTGGCTGATGTCATGAGATGTTGCTTCAGTATTTCTCCATAGTGTTCTTTGCTTATGATGCCATCTATGCTGTGAAGTGGACCAGTCCCTCCTGCAGCAAAACAGCCCCACAACATGATGCTGCCGCCCCCATACTGCACAGTTGGGATGGTGTTCTAGGCTTGTGCTCTTTCCCCTTTGTCCTCCAAATGTAACACCGCTCATTATGGCCAAACAGTTCAATCTTAGCTCCATCAGAGCACAGGACATGTCTCCAAACATTAGTCTTTCCCCAGTGTCATTCAGCTAATGGTAATCTGGCTTTGTTGTTGATTCTGGCTTGTTTATTTCCCATGTTGTCACAGAAGGAAGCAGTGTGTTTGAGCTTTTCCTTCAACACTATTCTACAGTTGTGCCTCACATTAACCTAAATGTTGTCAATTAGCCAATCAGAAACTTCCAAAACCTTGACATCATCATCTGAGCTTTTTCAGAGGCAGAATAATCTTATTGTGTGTAAACTTGACCTTCAAGAAGAGTTATAACAATTTCTCAAACAATCTCTCTCGTTATATTGCTGTTAAGCAGAACAGAAACACATTTGATCATCCCTAATAAAATAAAATAGCATCCCTAATAAAAAGTTAAAATAAATTTTAAAAACACACAAATCATTGACTACACTTTCTACAAGGTCATCACTGAGACCTTGAGCACATGGCCAGTGCTGAACAAGGCACCAGGGGAAAATGCGTTATGCTTCACTGCCTAGAGTTCACTATAGGGCTGTTTTTGAGGCAGATTTCATCCACTGTGGCAATTCCAGCTAGTAGGAGAACGTCTGCATGTAAACGAACTTGCTATTTGCAATCATTTGTTTGCCTTCATCGCTCCTTTTGGCCTTTTTAGATGTGGGATTTACGCAGGCCCCATCTGTTAGCATTGGACGGACACATCGTCCTGCTGAATTCAGATTTCAGGCCACGTTTGCGAACGATTAACGAATGATAACCGCCCATGCATCATCAGCACCCACATCATTATTTCACCTTACACAGCCCCTGCATGTCACTCCATATCAGCGCAATTACACCAGTCGGTACAGATCGCTCATTTCATTACCCAACCCGAAAGCAAAACCCCAAGTCAATTAGCTGAATCACATCAAATTAGCGCCATCTCAGGTCAGCATTTTCTGCATCTTCCTGCCCTTCAATGCAAATCGTTCTCTGTTTTAAAGGTAACAGCGCGTTCAAGTCTCCAGAGGACTTTAAAGTGGCTCTGCCTCTGCGCACCAACTACCTGTACGGACGCATCAAGAAGAGTCTGCCGGAGATGTACGCCTTCACTGTCTGCATGTGGCTTAAGTCCAGCGCCAGTCCTGGAATCGGGACCCCGTTCTCATACGGCGTGCCCGGACAAGCCAATGAGATTGTGCTGATCGAGTGGGGAAACAGTCCAATGGAGCTCCTTGTCAATGATAAGGTGAGCTGAGATTGATTCCGTTTGCTGGACATTGGAGATATGTGCCCAGGGCTACATCTTTGAGAACAGCAAAATATGTGCCCAGGGCTACGCCATTTCACATATCCAAAACTAGAATCTTCTCTGTAATCATAATTATATTAAATGTCAGTTTATATTTTAATTAAAAATATATCAATCATGTTTCTAACCAGCAAAGCACTTTTAATGGTAGCTGACAGAAGATTTTGGCTAGAATAAAAGCAGTTTTTAATATTTTAAAGCCATTTTAAGGTCAATATTAATAGCCCCCTTAAGCAATATTAGTTTTGGATTGTCAATTAACCAGTGTGTGGTGCTTTGTGTGTGCTTGTTTTATATTTCCCCTACATATTAATTTGCATATAGAAATTTGCAGACTGTGGTCTTTTCTTCTGTTTCTTATTTAGTTTAGTTTCAGGATTTGACAGAGAATTCATTTTAATTTATACAAGCTATTGCTAAAAATAAATAAGAATAAATATGAAATAAATATAAAACAATAAATATATAATTATCTAAAATATAAATATAATAATACATATTAAATAATGAATATTCAATAAAAAATGATATAAAATAAATATAATACAATCTGAAACATAATAATAATGCAAAATAATGAATATTAAATAAATATAAAATAATGAATATTTTAAAAATAAGTATTAAATATTGAATATTAAATAAATATAAAATAATCTAAAATATAAAAATAATTTTAAAATATATATAACTATCCGGGAAAATTTCCAGAACGAATTTACTAGTAGATTTATAAAAGCGCTGTTCACACAGGCGAGGGCGTTACGGATTTTTTCCTGAAAGGACCATTCACACATCCATTCCAAAATACCGGTAAATTCTGACATCATGAACCAGAGATGACCTCTAAACGGCTGCGCTTGTATTTGTACACATATGACTACATTACAATATGTTATCTATCTATCTATCTATCTATCTATCTATCTATCTATCTATCTATCTATCTATCTATCTATCTACCTATCTATCTATCTATCTATCTATCGTTCTGTCTGTCTGTCTGTCTGTCTCTCTGTCTGTCTGTCTGTCTGTCTGTCTGTCTGTCTGTCTGTCTGTCTATCTATCTATCTATCTATCTATCTATCTATCTATCTATCTATCTATCGTTCTGTCTGTCTGTCTATCTATCTATCTATCTATCTATCTATCTATCTATCTATCTATCTATCTATCTATCTATCATCTATCTATCTATCTTTCTGTCTATCGTTCTGTCTGTCTGTCTGTCTGTCTGTCTGTCTGTCTGTCTGTCTGTCTGTCTATCTATCTATCTATCTATCTATCTATCTATCTTTCTGTCTATCGTTCTGTCTGTCTGTCTGTCTGTCTGTCTGTCTGTCTGTCTGTCTGTCTGTCTGTCTGTCTGTCTGTCTGTCTGTCTGTCTATCTATCTATCTATCTATCTATCTATCTATCTATCTTTCTGTCTATCGTTCTGTCTGTCTGTCTGTCTGTCTCTCTATCTATCTATCTATCTATCTATCTATCTATCTATCTATCTATCTATCTATCTATCTATCTATCTATCTATCTATCTATCTATCTATCTATCTATCTATCTATCTATCTATCTATCTATCTATCTATCTATCTATCGTTCTGTCTGTCTGTCTGTCTATCTATCTATCTATCTATCTATCTATCTATCTATCTATCTATCTATCTATCTATCTATCTATCTATCTATCTATCTATCTATCTTTCTGTCTATCGTTCTGTCTGTCTGTCTGTCTGTCTGTCTGTCTGTCTGTCTGTCTATCTATCTATCTATCTATAAATCTATCTATCTATCTATCTATCTATCTTTCTGTCTATCGTTCTGTCTGTCTGTCTATCTATCTATCTATCTATCTATCTATCTATCTATCTATCTATCTATCTATCTATCTATCTATCTATCTATCTATCTATCTATCTATCTGTCTGTCTGTCTGTCTGTCCGGTCTGTCTGTCCGGTCTGTCTGTCTGTCCTTACCTACTGCTCACCTTTTCTTCACAAAATATGTAAATTAAGTCATTTCTACACACAGTCCGCACTTTTTAACCCATACATCATAAAAAATCGAGTTATCGTGTAAAGATGCACAATGCAGAAACCCCAAGGCTAAAACAAACCAGATCACTCTGTTACAGTTAACATTGTAAAGCATTTCCCAGATGCATGAGGCTCTTTGAAATGAGACTCTCGCAATTAGATTGTTTTGTAGGACTTGCGACAAACTCATTTCTCTCCCTCAACATCTCCGAGTGCTTTCCCGGCCATAGAGCAACACACAAGAGAAACATGAAAAGGTTTTCACATGCACTTTTAATAAAAACGAATATAAGATGATTAGCTTTCAGAGGCTGTTGTTGCACAAGACCCTTGATGATATCAAAGTCTAGCATTAAAGCACACATAAATGAATTAAATATGTCCTCCGTGGTTCTAAATCAAGACTATGAAACCGAGCTGCTTTTCTTTGGGGAAAATTAGCTTCCAATATTTCGTCCGTAAATGAGGTTAGCATGTCTCGGTAACCATGGATATGGCGTATATCTCTGGATCATTGTGGAGGTATCGCCGTGTGTGTGTGTGTGTGTAACCTGAGGGTCTTGAGAGAGCCAGAAAGTGAATCTGCCTTGCAAAAAAATCCCATGATACCTCACTCAGGAAGTGTCAGTTTGGCATCTTGCTTATTGAGAGAGGCATCTTGTCTGCCAGGACTGCACCACATGCATTATACATGTACAGTGTTTGTGTGCGCATACACATGTGTGTGTGTGTGTGTGTGTCTAGACGTCAAGCCGGAAAGAACAGGAGAGTAAGAGATGCTGCCATGCTGAATCTGATTACCTGTCAAGAGTGTCTTCAGTGCTTTTTTCTCACTCCACTAAATCTCATCTCATACCCCAGTGCTTCATTACTTGTGTCTGAATGTTGCGTGTTTTTGTACTTTTTGCATACCGCTCCACTTAAATGCATTAACAGCCTGGTCTCGAGGTGCAGTAGCTGTCAAACTCAATGTAAGTCTCGGCTTAGAGATTAAATATATAAATATTTGAAGCGCCGGAAACGACTTTATAGAGAGGAGTTCGTGTTGTGATGATTCCTTGAGACATTCTTTCAAACCGAGCAGCTTTCTGTCGACGAGCATAGTGAAATCAGCCAAATATTTGTGAAATTAATAAATATATCATAAATATTTGGGAGGTTTATCACCCTCATAAAAGGAGATTCATGTTGAAATTGCACACGGCATTTTTATTCATTTATTCATTTTCTTTTCGGCTTAGTTCCTTTATTAATCTGGGGTCGCCACAGCGGAACGTTCTCGAACCAGCGACCTTCTTGCTGCAAAGCGATTGTTCTACCCACTGCGCCACCGAGCTGCCATTTTGACCTTCATTCATTCATTCATTTTCTTTTTAGCTTAGTCCCTTTATTAATCTGGGGTCGCCACAGCGGAATCAACCGCCAACATATCCAGCATATGTTTTTTTTACGCGGCGGATGCCCTTCCAATATCCACTGCGCCACCATGCTGCCATTTTGACCATCTTCCTATTTTTAATCTGAAACTTTCTGCAAAATTTCAGCAACATCTAGCAGGCAAAACCGTTTGTGCAGCAAATCAAGTTAAAGTTCAAGCCCAGTTCAAACAGAGCAGGTTTTTGTTGGTCATCAAGGTAAATCTGCATCATATTATTACATGGTGAAATATGATCAAGGAGATTTTTCATTCTTACGCCCCATTCAAACGGGGCGTCAGCGTTAACGCTTCCCATTCACTTTGAATGGGTGACGTCAGCCGTTGCCGAACTGCATTGTGGATCCGTCGGCGCCGCTTCAGAGGCGTTGCTCGTTGCAGAAGGACTAGCTCAACTTTTCAAGCGCCGACGAAAGCGTCAGCCAATCAGATCGCTGTATGCAAATACACCAGCTAGACAGTGGCCTAATGCTGACTGAATTTCATTGGCTGACGCTTCTATGACGATCGTTTCAGCCCCAACTTCAGACACGCCTTCAGTCAAGCGTTGACGCTGAAGCCCCGTGTGAATGGGGCGTTATACCCAGGGCTTAATTTGTGCCGGAACATTCCAGATCCAGCACCTCTGAAATCTGATCCTCATTTTACCGATCCCCCTCCTCAACCGCCCTCCTTCCCTGTTCACTTTTCACTTTCACTTTTTTCTGCGACTCCCCAACCCTCTTCACTTTCGTCCGCAACACCCCCCACCCAGCACACTTTCGTCCGCGACACCCCCATACCTGTCAACATTGGGAACATAATAGGGGATCCCCCCCTTAAAAAAATATCCTCAAATTACTAAATGTGTTCATTTGGAGCTGTTTTATTGTAAATAAACAATTAAATGGTCAGTATTATGTTTTAAAATTATTGTTATTGTGTTATTTAAAGAGCAGTGGTCACCAAACTTGTTCCTGGAGGGCCGGTGTCCTGCAGATTTTAACTCCAACCCTAATCAAACACACCTGAACAAGCCAATCAAGCTCTTACTAGGTATACTTGAAACACCCAGGCAGGTGTGTTGAGGCAAGTTGGAGCTAAACCCTGCAGGGACACCGGCCCTCCAGAACCGTGATTGGTGACCCCTGTTAAAGAGCAACGAATGAGCCTCTCATTTATTAAGATTTTTTTTTTACTACATTAAATAAGACGTGTCACTTTAAAAATGCACTCATCTAACATTATAATACTTTTTATGCTCATTTAAGACTAAATTAGTTGTGTTTGGGAAAAAAACTCACCAAGATCGACATCCTTATATGTTATTATTATTAATTATGTGTGTATGTCTGTTTAAACACACACCCAAAAGCCAGACTTTCTCTCCGCTTCAAATCGCGTGTACAGAATCTGTTTGGGAAACAGCGTCTGTTTATCACTATGGAGCGTCAGCTGACAGTCACGCACCATTATATCACTGTTTTGAGGATTGTATAGGATGGGCGACGGCACCTGTGAAGGAAATAAAATCGTGCCGTTTTTAATATTTGTTTATAAGTGTTTTCATTCCTAAAAAAAGCGAAAGCACAGGAGTCTCACGTTTTAGAGCAAGGGGCGACCCCTGGTGGTTCGGCGGTATGGGTTGCGTATAGGGAGGCTCGGCTGTTCAGAGAACAAAATACGGGAGAAATACGGGAAAATACCTTTACGGGATGATAGCGGGATAGAACGGTAAAATACGGGAGAATCCCGGGAAAAACGGGAGGGTTGACAGGTATGGACACCCCCCGCCCAGCTCACTTTCGTCCGCGACACCCCTTTGCCATCAACCGCACCAACCGCCCCCACCACCCCAATTTTATGTGCGACACCTCTCCATCCTCGGGTAACATGCCGGATCCATTACCCCGATCTGTTCCGGGAACTCGCAATTCACAAATTAAGCACTGCTTATACCATATCCTACATGTGACACTGCGACTTGATAAAATTAATATTTTTCATGTTGAATGCAAAGTTTTTGTCCTAACCATGAACCACCTAAAAAGGATCTTAAACATGTAAAGTAGAAAAAATAGAAAAATACATATCTATGTTTCTGCGACATCGTGGCAGAAGTACAGCTGCCATGATGATGATCACCTCAGGTACTGATCAATATTCATTAAACACACACACACACGACCAAACTGAGCATTTGTTGTGCATTTGTTGATGTGTGTGCTTGTGTAGGCGTTCAAACCCAAGTATAATTTGAGCCTTATGCTTGTCAGTTTTAGTAAATCCCTTACCTCACTATTCATATTGATGGTTAAAGGTGCGGTCACATTAATATCCTGGCCCAGACTCAAGATGCGGTAGCTGTCAAACTCAATGTGTGTCTGACTTGGGGATTAAATATTTTAAGCGTCAGATACAACTTTATAGAGGAGAGTTTATGTTATGATGATTCATAGAGACACTCTCCATCCTGCATATCTACATCCCATCACAGACATTTTGTCAATTACTTTCCCTCCACTTGTTCCAAACCGGTTTGAGTTTCGTTGAACAAAAAAGACAATGTTTTGAAGAATGTCGACTTAAAGAGCCACTATTTTGCATTATAAAAGGTCATATTTTGGTTTTAGGGGTCTCTAACAACATGCTGATTTGCGTGAAGGTCAAAAAACACTGTCATTGTCTTATAATATGCATTTATTTTTACCCAATTATCCCAGCGACTCTAATATGATTAGTTCAGCGATTCATTTGTTCCCAAACCTCTCCTTGGCGCGATGAGATGGTTAATTAACATTCATCACATGATCACTAGTAAGATGTGTCATTTGTCCCTTTCACACAGTGATACAGGTAAATATCCAGTATATTCAAAAAAGCGCTGTTCACACAGGCGAGGACGTTACAGAATTTTTCCCGAAAAGAGCATTCACACATCCATCGCAAAATGCTGGTAAATTATGACATCATTAACCAGAAATGTGCTCTAAACGCCTGCGCTTGTGTTTGTAAACATTTGACTACATTACAAACTCTTCGGATGGATCAGTATTGAGTACAACTCTAATGAAAACATAGAGAAACACTTTCGCATGTCGAGATGTTCATGATATGTGTGTGTGCTGGCGCTATGGGCGCTTACGGGCACACGCAAAGCTTGTAGGTAAACAAACAACGGATTATCATAAACATTTTATCGATAATTATTTACACAGCATTAAGAAGGAACATAGAAACGTTATCTGACTAACATCTAGCAGCCAAAGGTGTCTGGAAAAATATTCAAAGGCTTTTATTCTCATAAACCGCGCCCACGTGAATGCGTCTGACTGTTCTGATTGGCTAAAGCAGGCGTCTCACGTCAGCACGTTCTAGACGTGGACGCGCTTATTACGGCAATCTTCCTTCTGCATTCACACAGCGCAGCATTCCGGCAAATTACCGGTAATGTTACAACTTCTCTTTCCGGAAAATAGCCAGAACGAATTTACCGGTATTTTCAAAAAGAGCCTGTTCACACATACAGACCTTTCCGGAAAATTGCCGGCAATTTTCCGGAAAGGTCTGTATGTGTGAAAGGGGCTATTATTTGTAACTTTAGATGTCATGGTTTCTAAAACAAAATCTGTCAGTTTTATCTTCATTCTCATCTTCAGCGCTTTACAGTTTTTCACGGTAGTAGCTCTCCCTGTCATCCCAAGCAAGAAGGCATTGACTGAGTGATTGACAGCTGATATGTCAGTGCTAGAGCAGTGGGCCAATCCGCTTGTTAAGTGTGACGTCACGCGAAGCGGCTTCCGGGTCCAAGCGCTCTATTCATAAGAATGGGGAGACTCATGAAATGGTAAAAATAAACGCTTACAAATCGATTGAATACTTTCGAAAATCAAGATGGCAGTATATATATCCAGCCTAATATCCGATGGCCAGAAAGTGATTAATTTTTTATAAATTGTAAAATTTTTGTTTGGTATTTGTTATGCAGCAAGCCCAGAGATTGTTGTGTACACTGTGACTTTATGTAAAATTAACTTTAATGTGTGATAGGAATAAAACGTGATCATAAACGAATGATTTCTCCACTCAAATGAATGGCGGCTTGGACCCGGAAACAGTTTCACATACGTCACAAACACGTCACCACTTAACAAGCGGATAAGAAGAACTCGAAGGCGGGGCAAGCATTACAGACTTGGCTTTGTTTACTGCAGCAAGTTGACATGACAACAGTTTTAAACCATTCCTGAGCGCTGCGTTTTGCGCTTCAAGTGCAGAGATGCATTGTGCGTGAATGTCTCCCAAATCCGTGCATGTGGTGAACGTTTTGCAGTAAAAACTGGTCGCACACAACAATTTTTTGCACTCGCACAAATGCTTTCAAATATATTTTGAGGTCGCATAGGTAAAATTTCGGGCGCATATGCGACCAAAATGCTCGCAGTTTCGAGCCCTGATTAGTGAGCCAACTCTTATCCTCTAGATGAGCATCGTTTCTTAAGGGTTCTGCAGTTTATTTAACAGAATGTCTACAAAGTATGTACTGTAAACTCACAGACTGGTCACATGCATAAAGCATGTTCACTTGCCTCATTTAAAATATAAATATGTTTACAGATGCTTCAATATAATGCTAACATACACCTCCTATATGAATTTATGTTTGAGTTATTACTGCAAATGTCACGTCTATAACGCTGCAATTGCTCTTGAAATACAGTTTCCACAGTCGTAACCTCCAGCGCTTTCCTTTTGTGTGCCACAGGTGGCTCAGCTTCCTCTCTCGGTGAGTGACGGCCGCTGGCATCACATCTGCATCACCTGGACCACCAGAGACGGCTTCTGGGAGGCTTATCAGGACGGAGAGCGGCTGGGCACCGGAGAAAACCTGGCCCCCTGGCACCCAATTAAACCTGGCGGAGTCATTATCCTGGGCCAAGAGCAGGTGAGCGCACGAGACGTGAAATAGCGGATCCCTCAAGGGGAAGGCAAAGTGCACAGATGATAATAAGCCTTCACACGCGATGATGAGAAGACGTCACCTCTCAGCAGCTCACAGACTTCTTTTTTTATTGCATTCCCTGTGAGAGTCAGGCACAATGTACAATCGAGCACACACCATCGACAAAGAGGCACACATTCACGAAGTTTATACTCATGTTGAAGACGAATGGGTTGGCTTAGTGGTTAACACTGTGGCCTCACAGCAAGAGGGTCACTGGTTCGAGTCCCAACTGAGTCAGTTGGCATTTCCGTGTGGAGTTTGCATGTTCTCCCCGTGTTGGCGTGAGTTTTCTCCGGGTGCTCCGGTTGCCCCCACAAGTCCAAACACATGGGCTATAGGGGAATCGATGAGCTAAATTGGCCGCAGTGTATGATTTTGTGTGTATGGGTGTTTCCCAGTACTGGGTTGCGGCTGGAAGGGCATCTGCTGCGTAAAACATATGCTGGAATATAAAATCAAAAAGCCTAGTGTTCACAATGTTTAATATTGAGAAGACATTTCTTCAAATTAGACGTAAATGACTTAAAAGATGCACATTCTCTGACAGATTGTGCTATTAAATTCCACTGACTCGCCCACGCTGTGGAGTTTAACAATAGAGTGCATTCACTGTGCTCACCGGCACAATCTGTGACCTAAATAACACAAAGTGATAGAATAATAGCTCTTGTCTGGGTCAGGTTTTATTTACCTTTATTTATGCAGGGCTTTGCATTATATTGATTGATTTGAAGAAGCTTCAGGTTAATTGACAGGAGGTTTTGCTGGATTTTGATGGTCCTCCAGCAGGCACAGGACAGGGCGTCATGGTTTTGCCAAGTACATTGCGATCCTGGATTAACATCTATGTTGATCTTGGAACATCATTTTTGTTGGACATCCATATCTATTCCCTACCCCTAAACCCAACCATAATTTAAAAATATTCGCAAATATTAGCTGGAAAACAATCTAAATGTAAGCCTTAACTTAACATAAACGTATCCCTCAATTCTGATTGGCTGATTGGAATGTTGTTCCAGTATTAACACAGATGTTAATTCAGGAATATGTCCTACTTGGTGAAATCAGGTTGGTGCACAGGATGTCAACATGACGTCAGATTGACGTAGTACTCTAATGTCAGGGGACTTTGCATTTTGGGTGAAAGTAAAAACTGGGTTGACAATGGATTTTGTCACCTTTTAACGCAACCTAAAAACAGTCAAATATCAACGTCTAAGGACAATACAGCTTGATGTTGTGTGGACGTTACCACTATGACGTCTATCAGACGTTGGACTTTGGTTGCCATACGTGATGAATAAATGTCAATATCTGACGTCAATATTACATTGGTTTAAGATGTTGGCTCGACGTTGGATTTTGGTCACTTTCCAACACAACCGAAAATCAACGTCATTCGACGTTGTTATTGAACATCAAAATAACGTTAATATTAAATGTCATTTGATGTTGTTATTAAATGTTAAAATAACGTTAAAATTGAACATCATTTGACATTGTTATTGAATGTTAAAATAACGTTAATATTGAACGTCATTTGACACTGTTATTCAACGTTAAAATAACGTTAAAATTGAACATCATTTGACATTGTTATTGAATGTTAAAATAACGTTAAAATTGAATGTCATTTGACATAGTTATTGAACGTTAAAATAATGTTAAAATTGAACGTCATTTGACACTGTTATTCAACGTTAAAATAACGTTAAAATTGAACATCATTTGACATTGTTATTAAATGTTAAAATAACGTTAAAATTGAATGTCATTTGACATAGTTATTGAACGTTAAAATAATGTTAAAATTGAACGTCATTTGACATTGTCATTGAACGTTAAAATAACGGTAAAAGTTAATGTTAAAATAACGTTAAAATTGAGCGTCATTTGACATTGTTATTGAACGTTAAAATAACATTAAAATAAACGTCGTTTGACATTGTTATTGAATGTTAAAATAACGTTGCCCTTAGACGCTGGCTAGATTTTGAATTTTGGTCACCTGTAATCACGACCTAAATCTAATCTAGTATTAACATCTTATGATGGCGTGTACCAGCCAGGCCTATTTTGATTTTCTTTTGACGCTGAGTATATACATTTAAAGAGAAAATTGGTAGCCATACTGTGGAGCCTTAATTATTTTTCAGTTGTTTCCGAAGTGATGTTCAATGTGCAAGGACACTTTTTCATGGTATTTCCTATTATATCTTTACCTTTTTTCTTTTAGTTTGGCTGAAATAAAGGCGTTTTTATGCTAGGGTCAAGATTATTAGCCTTCTTAATTTTATATATTAAATATATTTTAAATTGAATAATAGCTACAGAACAAACTACTGTTGTCCAATGATTGCCTGATTAACCCAATCAAACTAACCTCAAATTGCACTTTAAGCTGAACTCTATTAAAATAACTAAACTTAAGTGGAGCAATATTTACACAATTCTTTGACTAAAATGTTGCTAGTATTAATATTTTCTAACAAAGTATAACAGCCTGCGGTCTTATTTGGAGGAATATTGTTAGCAATGATATTATAGTTTGGCATTTTCTAATCATTTAGTTTTTTAATTATGATTATTATTGTTCTGCTATGAATTTCAGTTTAGTTTTAGTTCAGTAAACTTGCGTATGATAATCAACAGAGCGAACTCAGCAAACCTACGCCGCACAACATCACAGAATTAATCAAACTCAGTAGTTATTCTTTTACTGCTTTTGGCAGCGCAAACAAGGTATGCATTTTAATCAGATCCCTAAGGATTGAGCTCGCGTCCTTGGCAAACCGCTCTCGTACTCCACCAGTTAAACTACACACTCAAAAAAAAAGCAGCTATTTTGAATAAATTCTTTTCCTCTGCGATAATGAAAATAGTCACACTATTGCCAAAGCTACAGGCAAATATACACCCAAATAACAGCAGCAGACTGTGTATTAAAGCAAATTGACAGGATTTACTCCATGCATTAAAGGCATTTTTTAATCTCTCCTTGCAAATGGAATTCAGGTTTTTTTTATCATCTGTCACCGTCACTACTGAAGAAAATAAAAAATAAATCCTCCAGTTTAAAAAAAAAAAAGGTGTTTCACACTGCAGGCGGTTTAAAACCTCGCTTAGTTTTCTTATTTTTTATATCTCAAACACATATTCACGTCAATAGTGTCACAAAAACAGTCTGAAAAGGCTCTAAACTTGCTTAATGCTCTCATTCACGACTGTATTTATAACCCTAAATGGTAAGGTTAGAGATTAATAATCACAATCGTTCCAAATTAGGTCAAATCCATTTGCTTTTCCAATAGCGTTAAGAGTGATATTTGGGTTTTTTTTAGAGTCCAGGATCAGTCAGTGAAGGAATTGGCTTTAAATGGATATTAATAAATACTGAGAGTTTCCTTCGAATGTCTGCATCATTGATTTAAACAGATATTCATGTCAATAGCACACAAAATCAGTCCGGAAAGGCTCTAAACTTGCTTTATGCTCTTATTCACGACACCCTAAATGGTAAGGTTAAAGATTAATAATCACAATCGTCCCAAATTAGGTCAAATTTAATTACTTTTCAATAGCGTTTGGTTTTAGAGTGATATTTATTTTGTTTTTTTTAGAGAGAGCAGGATCTGTCAGTAAAGGAATTGGCTTTAAATGGAAATTAACAAAGACTGAGTTTAATTCGAATGTCTGTATCGTTATCTGAAACACATTTTCATGTCAATAGCACCAAAAAACAGTCTGAAAAGGCTCTGAACTTGCTCTATGCTCTCATTTCTGACACCCTGAATGCTCGGGTTACAGTTTAGTAATCGTAATCGTCCCAATTTAGGTCAAATCCAATTGCTTTTCCAATAGTTTTAACCCTGCGTTTGGTTTTAGAGTAACACTTGGGTTTTTTTTAGAGTGCATGATCAGTCAGTGAAGGCATTGTCTTTAAATGGATAGTAATTAATAAAAACTGCGAGCTTTCTTTAAATGTCTGTATCATTGCACTCAATGTGCTATTATTCAGCAGCCTGCAGTTTATCTTCGTTCAGCTTCATTTCCATGAAGGGGATTTGAGTCTGGTCTCCTGTGGGTTTCCTTCAGTTTGCATTAGAGGAACAGTTCGCCGTGGTCTGGATCACAGATTTACGAAACACTCACGGGCAAAACGTGCAATGCTATACATATATCCACCAGTGAATGAATTGACTGATAAGCGTGATGTGTGATGAGGGATTTATTATTAAGGTGGCTTGAGAAAGCCAACATGCTGTTATACTACATAAACTTATTCTGTAACACTTTACAATAAGGTTCATTAGTTAATGCATTTACTAACATGAACTAATCATGAACAGCACATGTACAGCATTTATTAATCATAGTTCAACATTTACTAATGCATAATTAAGTCCATGCTTGTTGATATTAGTTAATGCACCATGAGTTAACATGAACTAACAATGAACTACTGTATTTTCATTAACTAACGTTAACTAACATGAACAAATACAAGAGTAAATGTGCTGTTCATTGTTTGTTCATGTTAGTAAATGCATTAATTAACATTACCTAATGAACCTTATTGTAAAGTGTGACCACTTATTCTTCTTCTGTCTTCTTCTTCTTCTTCTGAGACTAATTTCTATACGCATCTCCTCCTAGACCATTCATACTATAACCACCAACCTAACTCCAAACCTTCAAACTGCTCTGATTCGGGTTGCTATATCTTTTCCAGCTGATCTCGACTTGTGGTTTTCCGAAAACTGACTGGAAAAATTCGGAGAAGTCCCATTGACTTAACATTGGACCGAACTTTATGACTTCACAACTTTGCGCCAGACTGTCCTACAGACTTAGAGTTGGGCACATTTAACTCAGAGTACCAATCTGCCAATCACTGATGACCTTTCAACTTACTAGCCACACCCTAGCAACCACTTATGGCACCCGAGCAACTGTCCTGTTGACTTCCATTATAAAAATCTGACATTGACTTTACATTGGACAAACTATCAACATACCAATCCATACTAGAAACATCGTGACAAACATACTAATCATACTAGCAACATGCTAATTCATAATGTTAACATATTAGCAACATGCTAATTCATACTATAAACATACTAGCAACATGCTAATTCATACTATAAATATACTAGCAGCATGCTAATTTATACTATAAACATGCTAGCAACATGCTAATTCATACTATAAACATACTAGCAGCATGCTAATTTATACTATAAACATGGTAGCAACATGCTAATTCATGCTATAAATATGCTAGCAACATGTTAATTCATACTATAAACATTCTAGAAAAATGGTAATTCATACTATAAACATGCTAGCAACATGCTAATTCATACTATAAACATGCTAGCAACATACTAATTTATACTATAAACAAACTAGCAACCAGCTAATTCATACTATAAACATACTAGCAACATGCTAATTCGTACTATAAACATACTAGCAGCATGCTAATTTATACTATAAACATGCTAGCAACATACTAATTTATACTATAAACATGCTAGCAACATGTTAATTCATGCTATAAATATGCTAGCAACATGTTAATTCATACTATAAACATTCTAGAAAAATGGTAATTCATACTATAAACATGCTAGCAACATGCTAATTCATACTATAAACATGTTAGCAACATACTAATTTATACTATAAACATACTAACAACATACTAATTCATACTATAAATATACTAACAGCATGCTAAATCATACTATAAACATGCTAGCATCATGCTAATTTATACTAAATTCATGCTAACAACATGCTATATTATTCTAGAAACATGTTAGCGACATGCTACTTCACAGTAGAACCATGCTAACAACATGTTAATTTATGCTAAAAACATGGCAATTTATGTTAGCAACTGCCTAGAAAACACCCTAACAACCACTTAGAACACCCTAGCAACCACCAACAACACCTTAGCAAGAATCTAGAACACCTTAGCAAACGCCTGGCAACACCTTAACAAACATTTATCAACCAATCAGAACACCTTAGCAACCACCTAGCAATGCCTTAGCAACCACTCAGAACACCTTAGCAACCACCTAAAACACCCTAACAACACCCAAGAACCACTCAGAACACCATAGCAACCACCTATCAACACCTTAGCAACCACTAAATACACCCTAGCAACATCTTAGCAACCGCCTAGCAACGCCTTAGCAACAACTCAGAAAACCATAGCAACCACCTAGCAACCACTCAGAACATCCTAGCAACCACCTATAAACATCTTAGTAACCACCTAGCAACATCTTAGCAAGCACCTAGCAACTGATTCAAACTTCTTTAAACTACTTTAATTATTTAAACTTTGAAACTACTTCAAACTTTCTGAATAGGTCACCTAATCTGGGTTCTGATGTCAACCTGATTTTCATTTACAAACAAAATGCAACGTCCCACAATGCTGGGGTCGTCAATCTGACGTCATGTTGACATCCAGTGCCTGCTGGGTAATCTACTCGATTGTGTACTAGATACTAGTTCCTGGAGGAGCACCAGCACTGCATGTTTCAGATGTCTCCAGTGTCTGTCCCCCATTACAGCTTTTTCAGTCTCTGCTAATGAATCTGAGTGTGTTTAGTTAGAGAGACATGGTAAATGTGCAGAGTTGGTGGTCCTCCAGGAACGTGGTTGAGAAACTGGATGGCGTATTATTTCAGTGACGCGTGCTGTCGTTTCTCCACAGGACATCGTAGGCGGCAGGTTTGATGCCACTCAAGCTTTCGTAGGAGAGTTAAGCCACTTCAACATGTGGGACCGAGTCCTGCGTCCCATAGACATCTCCGCTATGGCCAACTGCTCCGCCTACATGCCTGGCAACGTGGTGCCGTGGGTCGACGCCAACGTCGAGGTGTTCGGCGGCGCCACAAAAGCAGCGCTGGAGATTTGCGAAGAACGGCTCTTTGATTCCTAAAGGACACGTTTTGAAGAGCTCGCATTATCTGAGGTAACCCACGTCCTGGGGTCTGATCCGGGAAAACCGAAACAAACACGTTTACATGATTCCTCTCACGCACAAACACTCACACACACACACAATGGCTTATTTTGATCTTCTTACGTTCGTTTGCAGAGACTCCAGCCTGAGTGGAAACTAAAAGGACTGCGATTAATTAATGAAATAAAGGAAAGTCAAGGTCAGAGCGTCTGTGACTCCGTCTGAAGTGAAACTTTCTTATTTTCGATGTTATATACGCTTCTCTCTGTGCCGCGTCCTTCACAAACTTCACGAGCTCGTGGGTATTTTAAGAACTGCTGTAAAAGATTTGTATTGATTTATTTTTTCTGCTGTTCTCGCTTTTGTCATGTCGTGTACAGGCCGATGCCCTTCAAACCGCCGAGGAGAAAAGAAAATGAAAATGCACAAAATTAAAGGAGCAAAAACATGAGAGACATCATCGCTTTTGTCTGTGATTGTCGGATTTTTAAACCTTCTGTATTGTGGTTATTCGTGAGCGGACGTCCGGAAAACTTAACGTAGCAAAGCGGCCAAGGACTGAGCTCTCAGAAATCCTCACGGGACGCTTCACCTCATTTGATTTCATTCACTTTATGAATGTCAGATTTTGAGAGGTGTGTTTGAAATGATTTGACACGGCGTTATGAGATTAACTTGACGGGGAATGTGTGTCATAACGTTTTATTAAAATATGCGTGTGTGTGCATGTGTGTGTGTGTGTGTCATGGGGTTTTAAATCAACCCTTGCACAAAGCGCTGGAATAAAATGGGACTATTTTTTGCTGGAGATGAAACGGAAATATTGATGGCCGCTAATGAGGATGACAGCGCGTGTGCTTGTTTAAAGCGCAGCGTCAGGAGTGTTTGATTTATCTGACAGTTTGATGCTACAAACAGGGTGAATCTCATGAAAGTTGTCAAAAACATGCGCAGGTCATATTCCCCCTCGAAAACAAAGTGAAGAAATTGAATCAGCTTTTGAAATGAGGCCCTGTTATTTGCATTGTAACATTATTTTCATGACTCTTATTATAAGCAGATTTGCTTTTGCTTCTCATTAGCATATTGCAGAACTTCATATATATTTAATTTTTATTGTGAAGCGTTAAGGTTAGTATTTATTTGTGCCTTTGCTGCTTTTTTATATTCCTTACAAATCCGTTTGAAGGTTCCACTGGTGTTTTTATTTTTCTGCACAGTTTTCATAATTTCTGATGATAATTATTAAAAATCCATTCGTTCTGCATTTTTAGTAATTATGATCCCGGTGATTTGTATTTTAAAATAAAGGCACATTTTTTAAGTGAGAAATAAAGACTCGCCAAAGAGTGAACTTCTATCAACAGTGTTTACTTATTAATTGATTTTTTTGTTTGTTTGATTCATTGTTTTTTTCATTTGTTTGTTCATTTATTTATTTATTTGTTTGGTTGATTGATTTGGTGTTTGTTTTATTCATTCACTTATTTATTTATTTGTTTGGTTGATTGATTTGGTGTTTGTTTTATTCATTCACTTATTTATTTATTTGTTTGGTTGATTGATTTGGTGTTTGTTTTATTCATTCACTTATTTATTTATTTGTTTGATTGTTTTTGTCATTTTTGTTTGTTCATTTATTTGTTTGACTGATTGATTGATTGTTTTGTTTTTTGTTTGTTTGTTTATGTGATTGATTGTTAATTTGTTTTTGTCATTTGTTTGTTCATTTATTTATTTATTTATTTGCTTATTTATTTGATTGTTTTTATGTTCATTTGTTCATTCATTCATTGGTTTGTTTATTTGTTTGCTTGTTTTGTCATTTGTTCATTCATTTATTTGTTTGTTCATTTATTCATTTGTTGTATTCATTCGTTTATTTGTTTGATTGTTTTTGTCATTTTTGTTTGTTCATTTATTTGTTTGTTCATTTATTTGTTTGACTGATTGATTGTTTTGTTTTTGTTTGTTTTGTTCATTATTTTGTTTGTTTGTTTATGTGATTGATTTTTTTTCATTTGTTTGTTTATTTATTTATTTTTGTTTATTTATTTGATTGTTTTTTGTTCATTCGTTCATTTATTTATTTGTTTGATTGTTTTTTGTCATTTGCTCTGCATTTATTTGTTCTTTTTTTGTCATTTGTTTGTTCATTTATTTATTTGTTCATTTATTTGTTTGTTTGTTTGATTGATTGTTTGTTTGTTTTTGTCATTTGTTTGTTTATTTATTTGTTCATTTATTTGTTTGATTGATTGTTTTGTACTTTCGTTCATTCATTTGTTTTATTGTTTTTTGTCATTTGTTGTTAATTTATATTTATTTGTTTGATTAATTGTTTTGTTGAATTGTTCACTTATTTATTTGTTTGTTTGTTTTTTGTCAGTTGTTAATTTGTTTGTTTGTTTGATTGTTTTGTTTTGTTTGTTTTGTTCATTTGTTTATTTTATTGATTGATTGTGTTTTATTTTGTTCATTCCTTTGTTTATTTGGTTGCTTATTTGTTTGCTTGCTTGTTCATTTGTTTGTTAATTTGTTTCTTTAATCAATTATTATTGGGCATAAATATTATGGGGCGAAGCAGTGGCGCAGTAGGTAGTGCTGTCGCCTCACAGCAAGAAGGTCGCTGTTTCGAGCCTCGGCTCAGTTGGCATTTCTGTGTGGAGTTTGCATGTTCTCCCTGCGTTCGCGTGGGTTTCCTCTGGGTACTCCGGTTTCCCCCACAGTCCAAACACATGCGGTACAGGTGAATTGAGTAGGCTAAATTGTCCGTAGTGTGAGAATGTGTGTGTGGATGTTTCCCAGAGATGGGTTGCAGCTGGAAGGGCATCCACTGCATAAAAACTTGCTGCATAAGTTGGCGGTTCACTCCGCTGTGGTGACCCTGGATTAATAAAGGGACTAAGCCGACAAGAAAATGAATGAATGAATGAATGAATGAATATTATGGTTTAATGGGTTTTAGATGTGACTATTTTTGTACGCAGTGTAAAGCAGACCTCTGAAAGAAAATGATGAAAATATAGTGAAATATTCTTAACTTTTTTGTCTAAATGTGTACTGTTTGTGCAAACAAAACAAACTTTAAAGACAACAATCACACAAGGACACACAAAGGTTAAAATAATTTCACAGTGATTCTCTTCTGTTTAAAACAGTATTACAGCAAAACACTGCAGATGAGAAATAGGCTTATAATCATAAAATAATGTCACAAAGCATAAATAAAATCTCCTTTGATCTGGAGACGTTTTCATGAGATTCACCTTCACTGCTTTTATTTGTGCTTGATCTATTTAGACGACGACTTCTTCAAAACCGTATATTTGTGTTAAAGTAGAGCAGTGCAATATATATACAGGACACTTTATGTAAATGTGCCCGTCGGCATCGTCTCTCCGTGTGGTCACGGTTTAAATGCACCTCTCGCTGTGTTACACGGATGTTTTCATTTCATCTTTCAGCTTGTTGTGCACAAAAGGCCAGATCAAAGTGTGTGAATTCACTGTGGTGCGGTGCTCTTTCACAATACACACACTAATAATGCATTAGTGCGTTTCCCTTGTCGACACGTGTTTGTATCTGGGCTACAAGAGCTTCTCTGCTCTACTGATGAAATGCACTGGAACAATGTCTAACACACCTTTCTTTCGTTTGAATGTATTCTACTGCTATTCTGTGTCAGAAATGTACCTATAGAGGAACAAAAATGTGCATTTTGCTCTGTCATGCTGCCTTCAGGTCCTTTTGATATGGGAAATAACACAATGTCCTGATGACCTATGGGAGTTTTCTTAGAGTGTGCATTATTGAACTGTGTTAGAATACGTAATGGGAAGTATTGAGGCGTTTGGATGGCGAATTTCACAAGATGTGAGATGTGCGTCAATATTTATTCCACTCCAGGCTCATTGGAAATACGTAAAATACGTTTCTCCAGGTGTGTTTTGTTGCACGTTTCAGTTAAATTAGATTGTTAATAGAATTCCCATCAAGCGCTGACTGTCACCAGTAACCACGATGAGCTGAATGTCATCTAATTTAGCCAAGTCAGTTTATTTATAGACAACATTCATTTATTTGTTTGAATGATTGATTTGTTTTTTGTTTGTTTTGTTAATTTGTTTGTTTATGTGATTGATTGTTGATTTGTTTTGTCATTTGTTTGTTCATTTATTTAGTTATTTATCTTTTTGTTTATTTGATTATTCTATGTTCATTTGTTTATTCATTCATTCGTTTGTTTATTTATTTGCTTTTTTATTCATTCGTTTGTTTGTTTGATTGTTTTTGTCATTCTTGTTTGTTCATTTATTTATTTGTTTATTTGTTTGACTGATTGTTTGTTTTGTTTGTTTTGTTCATGATTTTGTTTGTTTGTTTATCTGATTGACTTTTTTTTCATTTGTTTGTTTATTTTTTTATTTTTGTTTATTTATTTGATTGATTGATTGATTGATTGTTTTTTTTGTTCATTCGTTGATTTATTTATTTGATTGTTTTTTTTTTCATTTGCTCTTCCTTTATTTGTTTGTTTGATTGATTGTTTGTTTTTTTGTCATTTGCTTTTTAAAAACAACAAGTGCTTACCAAAGTGCTGAACACACATATACACCAGCTAAAACAAAGGACAAATATAACAGACACATGACTAGGCCCACCCGGATTCTGCACGCGCAGAATCCTGCAGATTTTTAGCCCATCATTAATTCTGTTTATTTACTTGAGTAAATGTGTGTAAATCTAAATTTATTTAGTTTTTTTTATTATTTACAGTGATATTATTGACTAATATGAAAATGTTCATCTGATTTATGTACAATGCAGTTTGTAAAGTAATATTTTCTGTCTTTTACTAGATATATTATATGAGAAACTTGCTTTATTTACCAAATAAAGTGAATCTAATTAGATTTGCAATTTAAACATTAAATAAAAGTTATAAAGGTGTTACTTTTTATTTCACTGACTAAGGTTTTAGCTATGATACTCCCGAAATAATTTCGCAGAAATCCACAGATTTTAACCAAAATTCTCTGCAGAGAAAGCAAAAAACGTCCGCAGATTCCGTCTGGCCCTGCACGTGACTCTCATATAGACACAGAGAGAAGCATGTGTAGGAAAGGACTTGAAGGCAGCATTGGGCCAAAATGACGACTCGTTCATGATCAGATGGGGTTTTGTTTTTCAGAATGTAACACGATGGTGTTTTTGTCCATAATGAATGGCCTTTTCTGAGCACCGATTGTGCTTTCTGGGTTTTCCAAGGATTCAGCCTCTAATGTATAAGAGTGTGAAATGGTGAGAGCAGGAAAAATGGCTTTAATGTGAAATCTCTCTCTCTTTCCTCGTATTCAGAGCAACGGAGTGTGTGTTGTTCAGCATGGAGGATCGGTTGAATGTCCTTCTTCACCCAAATAAATGATTTCTGAAAACCACACATCAGAGTTCGGGGAATATTTCAATCTGTTATTCGCCCTCTTGTGTGTCGTGAGGATAATCAAGAGTTCTGTATCGCATCACTCTGTCAATTGAATAACTTGAGAATGATCAATCTTTTATGCATTATCAACATTATATCCTTATTAAACCTCTAAACAGTGTATCTTCCCACTAACATGGACAAACCACTGACATCTGAAGACATGAAGAGATGAGCTAAGCAGAGACAACAATACCTTCATAGACAAAAGAGCAGGTCAACATTGAATTATTATTTTCTCCTTCTTATAGTATTCGATTTATGACTTATTTGTCGTGTGATCAACCTTTCGGGCTAGCTGTAGATGTATTTGGAAGCAATTCGTAACATTTTAATAATATTTCGGCAAATTGAACCAAATGAACGAAAAGATTCGAAAAAAGATTCGTTCATCACGATGAACGTGACTCAAAGATCCGAATCAGTAAAATGATCCGAACTTCTTCATCATTTTCTTGTCGGCTTAGTCCCTTTATTAATCCGGGGTCGCCACAGCGGAATGAACCGCCAACTTATCCAGCACATTTTTACGCAGTGGATGCCCTTCCAGCCGCAACCCATCTCTGGGAAACATCCACACACACATTCACACACACACTACAGACAATTTAGCCTACCCAATTCACCTGTACCGCATGTGTTTGGACTGTGGGGGAAACCAGAGCACTGGAGGAAACCCACGCGAAGGCAGGGAGAACATGCAAACTCCACACAGAAACTCCAACACAGAACACAATACGACCTTCTTGCTGTAAAGTGACAGCACTACCTACTGCGCCACTGCCTCACCATGATCCGAACTTCCCATCACTAATCTACATCCACATGTACGACTACAACATAAAAAACACATGACAGAAGCTAGAGGCAGCTGT